CACATTAGTATGGGTCCCACACTAATGTGAGTTTGTTGTAAGTGTGGTATCCCACTAATGATTGTACACCTAGCATAGTTCTAATAGTTTTGTTGGGCAGCTTCACAAAAAGATGACCCCTTTTAACAACTTTTCTAATGTGTTTTGAGTTTCCTGAATTAACGAATCAATATTTTTGATTATGCACCTGTTTGACACCCGTTCTGTTCTCATTCTCATTTTTTTCTCTTTCTTCATTTCAACCATACATTCTATCAATAAAATAATATTACACAAAACCTAAAAATTCTCATTACTTTTTAACCACACATTATTCCATCAATTACTATTCTAGAATTTATTTTTTCTACAAAATGGGTGTCAAACAGGGGCTATGTATTGAAGCTTGCATGTGTAGGTATGGAGATCATAATTATAGGTACATCTAGCAGAAACTTGGCAATCGTTGGTGCATAGTTTGCACAATTAGATTACTACACAATGAACTTCTTGTGAATTGTAGAGAATTCTTTTTAATTTCTCAATGAATAACTGCACCCTAATTTCATCCTTTTATAGAATACAAAAGACTTTAAAAAGGAAAAACAATATTCCTAAATCAATGCAAGAATCTCCTAAAACTTTCTTAATTACAAGAATTATAGTTTTCCTAAATTGACAATGCTAATTAGGGAAGGTGGAATATTGCCACATATCCGGGATGTCAACACTTCTCTTCTATTGGAGTTGCAAACTCAAGCAATGAGTTTGAACAGATCAGTTTTGTCAGAATATGGCGTTTAATGTAGTCTCTTGGCTGGAGACATTTGTTTCCGTATCTTTAGTTCAAGTGGTGGTTATTCTTAGACTATCTGTAGTTAGTTTTACAAACTTCACTGCATCCCTTAGGGTGGCTAGCATTTAAAACTTAGTCCAACAATGTGGCAGTGATATAAGATTAAATCTTTCATTTGTATTGTATATGATCCTCAAGGACTAGTTTGCAATGTCAGGCTGATAAAATTTGTGTTTAAAGGCATCAATGGTTTGGGTGTTCTTTCATTTCTCTCTCTTAATTAATCTGCTGGTAAAAAATTTCCATTTGTTTTCCATAGATGCCAGATGCAATTTACGCTACGCCAAGAAAATCTCAAACATCAAAATCTTTGACTTGCTCCAAAAGTTAAATCCTGAAAATAAGAAAAAAATGAAGAATGTTAGTTACA